TGAATACACTATAATAGCTATTTTAAAAGTTCCAAAGAAATCATTGCTTAAGGATACAATTTTTTTTTTTTTTTTTGAGACAGTTTTGCTATGTTGCCCAGGCTGAAGTGTAATAACCCAATCTCGGCTTACTGAAACCTCCACCTCCTGGGATCAAGTGAATCTCTGTCTCAGCCTCTCGAGTAGCTGGGATTACAGGGGCTCGCTACCACGCCTGGCTAATTTGTGTATTTTTAGTACAGATGAGGTTTCAGCATGTCGGCCAGGCTGGTCTCTGACTCCCGACCTCAGGTGATCCACCTGCCTTGGCCTTCCAAAGTGCTAGGATTACAGGTGTGACCCACCGTGCCCAGCCAAATATGATTTCATTTAAATTGTTTTGGTCATGGAACTGTGCACTTCCTTCAGTGCAAAACAGCTAAATCATGACTTTAGTATAGTTGCCATTCATTGAAACGTGCTTTCCTCACGTCCAAAATGGAATACAAAGACATTGAAACATTTTTGACTGATTACATTTATCTTTTCAAGTGTACATTCAGTGATACTTAATAAATAAGACAGGACTGAAATTTCTTATGGGTTAGATATGAATTTTTTCCATCTAGTGGGCCACTAATTGGCCTTATATATTACATATAGTATTTTTCTCTATTATATTTTATGTGACTCAGTGTTAAGTCTAGTGTTCTTAATTATAATTTTTTATTTTATTATATTTATGGGATTTATCCCCAGTGTATTTCTCAGGTTTGACAGAAATATCACTGCAGGCCAGGCACAGTGGTTCACACAGTAATCCCAGAAATTTGGGAGGTCATTGGGGGCAGATCACTTGAGCTCAGGAGTTTCAGACCAGCCTGGCCAACATGGTGAAACCTCTTGTCTACAAAAAATATAAAAAGTATCCAGGTGTGGTGATGTGCACCTGTAATCCCAGCTACTCAGAAGGCTGAGGTGGGAGGATAACTGCAGCCCAAGTGTCTGAGGCTTCTGTGAGCTATGATTATACCACCACCCTCCAGCCTGGGTGGCAGAGTAAGGCTCTGTCTCCAAAACAGATAATAAAATTACATTTAAATATATAGATTATAAAAATAATAAAAGTCCATTCGAACCATGCCTAACAACGTAAATCAAATCACATCTCAGGAATACATTTAAATGATATTATTTAAATGTAAAAAAGAAAACCAAATAAAAACAAAACCCAAACCATACCAGAAGAAACCATTACCAAATATTTTATAGTCATGGAATAAGGAGTGCATTCCTAAGAACTAAAGAAAAATCCAGAGACAATAAATATAAAATGATTCATGAATTTACATCACAGACATTAAAAATATCTACATGGCAAATACCACCAAAACAATGTAAAAAACAAGGACATACTGGAAAGAAGTACTTGGGGCTCATTTTACAATCAAAGCACTGCTTTTCTTAATATATCAAGAGGTACTACAAATCAATAACAACCTAATGGACAACAGCCTAAATAGGTCCCAGAAAGTGCAGTATCAATTGTCTATACATATGAAGGAAAAGGCATTGGGAAAGATAGATGAGAATCCAATAAGAAGATATTCAGTGCCACTTCTGATAAGATAGATGCAAATTAAAACAGCACTAAGAAACCATTTTTCATCTATCAATAAGACTGACAAAAATTAAACATATTCAATACCCATTATTGGTGAGAGTGTAAGGAAACAGACGCTCATACACATGCGGTAGAAGTGTAAACTGGTCAACAATTATGGAAAGAAACTTGGCTATCTCCATTAATGCACTTTTAGTAATTTATCCCACAGAT